AGGGTGCCAGGAGCTGGGGGAGGCGTATTATGGGATGGCAGAGGAACGTAAAACACAGAATCAATCAGCGTCATGTTTCCACTCGTTTCTATTCGAGTGACGACTGAAGCATCAATCGAGCAATTCTCTGAACCGATCGCTGATCAATTAGCCATCAATTATCCATCAATCACTTCAGTTAATTAATGGAAATACGTGTACGGAGCCTTTTCTACGTTTTATGTTTTCTTCTCATATTTGGTTTTTGCTGAGATATGAGATCGTTGGAACATTAATCTAAATGAGTTAGAAGTAATTTAAGACACTTCTTGACTCATTTTTGAACAACTTTCAGGACATTTAAGGACATTTATAATAATTCTTTGGACATTTTGGACAATTTCAAGTCATTCTGTAAATTTTTTTACTCATTTTTGGACAAATTTCAGGAAATTTCTGACAAGTTCTAATAAACTTGGATAATTTTAAGTAATTTTTGGACATTTTTAACTTTTTGGACACTATTAAGAATTTTGGAGATATTTAACTAATTTTGGACAATTTCAAGTCATTCTGTAAATTTTAAACTCATTTTTGGACAAATTTCAGGAGATTTCTGACGAGTTCTAGTAGTTTTGGATAAATTGAAATATTTTTTGGACAGTTTTTTAGTAATTTAGGATATTTTTAACTTATTCTTGGACAACTTGTGGGACATTCTGGACAGTTTCTAGTAACCTTAGACAACTTTTGACTAGTATTTGAACACGTCTTTGGACCGCGGTCACCAGACGGGTCGTCCTGATAGATTCCACAGAAGTGATTCATTCTTTGCTATGAACCGACGCCGGTTGACCAAAGCGACCTGTTCAGGAATCAGAACTCGTTCAACACCTGCTGGAACCTGCGGGGAGGAAACCCCCTGAAACACCAGCTGGTTCTGGTCCAGCAGGAGCTGGGCGGCGGCGGCGGCGGGTCGGTACCTTTGTAGTCCTGGCCGGCGGTGCTGATGTGCATCCTCTTCTGACACTCCCCACAGCTCATGAGGAAGCGGGTCACCGCCTCTCGGGGCAGGAAGGCGTACGTCTCGGCGATCTGGGGGGACAGAACCAGACAGGAGAGACCGTTGGTGTTCTGATCGTCACATTAACCCGCATGTGGAGCTGGAACCAGCTCGTCTGGGTCGGACCGAGCACACAGGAGCTCCAGCAGCAGCAGCTCTGGTTCTCTGGTTAAAACCTGGAAAACCTGAAGCTGAAAAGTAAACATCCGGTAAAACGAACAAAAGGTTTTAATCAGAACGCTGCAGAGCAGAGACTCAAGTCCAACAGAGACAACATGTGTTGGTATCTTGAATTATTAGCACCTGATTCCAAAATATAAAAAATATAAACTACAACTTTTTACACGTCGCTGCCTTTGAATAAATGTTTCGAAGCCCATAAAACTTTATCCTCTATAAAGTTTTATCCTCTATTGTTTAGTTCTACATGCGTTTTTTATTTCTACACAAAGTTCTGAACACATATAGATTTTTTTTTTCATATTTATGATCCAGAAATGTAAATAAAATTTGCAGTTTATACATTTTAAAACAAGAAAATTGTAATTTACAGACAACTACAGTTAAAGTTCATGTTAATTATAGTAAAAAACAAAACGAAAAAAACAATATAAATTCAGTTTATTATTATTATTATTATAATTATTATTATTAATAAAACAAATAGTTTAATTACAGAATAATACATTAAACCTCTGTAATTAATTATACAGTAAATAAATGTTTCAGTAAATTAAACTGTAAAATTTTACGGGAAATGTTGTAATTGAATAATTTATTAACATATATTTAAATTCCTTTGTTTTATTTTGTGTTTTGACTTTAAATAAAATAAACTTTTTATTGTTTTTTTTTGCCTGTTGGTTTGATTGTATTTCATTTTAAATCTGTTTCTGTGTCGTCACCGTATTAATACTGGATCATTTCTATTAATATGAATTATCGACGATTTATTAACGAATATGCAAAGAGAGAAAACTGCATTTTTGTACTTAAAAACTACACAATGCTGCGAGTCACAGTGTCGATAAAATGTGCTGAAAGCTTCGATATTAATGAACAAAAACTCGTTAAATGTGATTAAATTTATATTTAACAGAAACTGAATCGTCTGTTTTCTCTAAAATCTATTTCAAATAACAAACTAGTCCAATAAACGTTACGTAATGTGACAGGAAACTTCTGCACTTTGAGGAACGTCGACTTGTTTTTGCCTCCTGAACACATTAAAATGCAAAATATATGCAGATGAGCCGAGTTGGTTTGTTGACTGCCAACGTTTCCCAGAATGCATTTCACTCCTCTGAACCAAACACACTTCATCTGCAGATAAAACAACTTTTCCACTAAAACTTAAACACTTCCTGCTGCTCAGATGTTCACCCTGCAGGTTCTGCAGGTTCTGCAGGTTCTACAGGTTCTGCTGGTTCTACAGGTTCTGCTGGTTCTACAGGTTCTACAGGTTCTGCTGGTTCGGCGCCGTCCTCCGCCTCCAAATATTACAGAAAAAAGAGAGACTTTTGCAGAAAGGCGGCGAGGACGTGAGCTCCGTCGATTGTGGGTGTATTTTAATATGCATAAATCAAATGTTTATTCTGCACAAGAGGCTCAAAGACACAAAGCTGGGGGCGGGTGGAGGTCTGTGGAGGAGGACGTGGAGATCCACAGGCTCGCTTCTGCTGCCTGGTTCTGCTTCTGCCTCGACGGTGGACGGACAGAGGAGGCGGACCGGCGCCAAAGAATCAAAGTTGTGATGTTCTGGAAGCATCGCAAAACAGAAAGCAGCAGACGGGCGGAGAACGGAGGAGGAGAGGAGGTGCTGGTGGAGGCTGCAGCGCTGCGGCTCCACCAGCAGAGGGCAGCGTCAGCAGCAGGTTTGACTCCATCAGACTTAATTCTCAGATTGAGCTCAAGTCTCCACAGGTTTTAGGTTTTTTTAAATTCAGCGTCCGGGGAGTTGATGAGACAAAGATAATGAGACGGAGAGGACAGAAAATAATCAAATATAAAGAAAGGAAATAAGAAGAATGGCAGCGACGACGAAGGACGACAAAGTCAGAGTCACTCCGTCTGACCTACTAAACGGGTTCTAAACCAACCGTCTGGACTCTTTACAGTCAGGAGGGTTTAAAAGTCGCACATTAGGAGGAAAATATTTCGTGGACATTTTTCACTTTAGATTTATAGAAATATAAATAATAAAGAGAAAACCGATGACTTGTTTTTTCTAATAAACGCTAAACGATACAAACGCTGAGATTTTTGCACCATAAATCAAACTTAAAGGTTTTTTTCCACAATATTTACACCAAATAATTCTTTTAATTGATTTATTTCATCTCGTATCATCGGGTTCCTTCTGATCCAGCAGCTCTGATTCACTTCAGATGTTTTCATCATAAACTATGAACATTTAAAACGGCATCTTTGGAATTTTATCTCAACATATTAAATAGTTTTGGAGATTTTTTATTTTTTATTTCATTAATCGACCCAAAGGAACAAACAATAAGAATAAAGCAGACGTGGACTGGTGATGTTTTCTGACCCTCGTATAGCTGCAGGTCACAATAAGACTAAACTAAACACATGAAATACTCTATTACTATAACATATTAATTATTTAATGCAATATTGGACAATTAGAGCAAACAGGTTTTTTAAATTATGCCCAAAATCTTGAGGATCGGCTCCATCTCTTGAGTTGTAATTTAGGTTTTTGTTGTTCAATCTGTCAAATCTGCTCAATTAGTGATAAAAGTTCAACAAATCTGGACAGTCCAGACCTAGAGTCCAGACTCCAGAGTCTAGACTCAGAGTCTAGAGTCTAAAATCTAGAGTCTAGAATCCAAAGTCTAGAGTCCAGAGTTTAAAGTCCAGATTGAGTCCAGACAAATATTTTATATTAAAATGAGGTATTTGGATTTTTAACTCTCTACTTTTCTTTGAACAACTCGTCGTCCGCTCAGGAAACCGAGACGTTCTTCAAAATCGCTTTTTTTCACGAGTCTCCTTTAAAAACATGCAAAAAATATTCAGTTCGAAGCAGCAAGAATCTGTGAAAAACAACAAATCTGACGCTCGTCTGCAAGAATGAGAGACAAAAAAATAGTTCTCAGATAAAAAATAATCCTCAAATGAACTGCAGGCAGTGTTCACAAATAAATAATTGGTTCATTTACATTCTGTAGATATCTAACGAGTGAATTTTGACTTTAGGTTTTAATAATTGTCTTATCTGTGTCGACACTTCCTGCAGTTCAGCTGAAAACATTCTGAATTTTTGTAACGTATCCGTTGGTCGCAGCTGATTCACTCAGAGCTTCTTAGTTGCACAAAAAAGTGCAAAATGTTTTGTTTTTTACAGAATCTAGTTGGAGTAAAAAATTTACTTTTGGTGTCTTTTAAGAAACGTCACGATTTGAAACTCAGATTTGGTTAATTTTCCTGAAAGAGCTGCGACTCAGTGATGGTTAGTTCAAGGACAGTCTGAAAGTTCTGCTTTTTTTTCAGCTTTTATAGTTTCTGGTTTTGATTAATGGTGATTTCTTAAATATAAAACATGGTTTGGAGGTTCAGGTTAAATAATGAGCTGAGTTGTTGTTTTTCTCCTGATCAGCTGATTAACGTTTGTCAGCAGCTGATTGGTTCGTCTGATGTGAAACTGAAAGTAGATCAGCGACACTTTAAACCAAAGAGGAATGAAGCCAGAGGAAGAAGAAGACGGAGGCTGAGGAAACAGTTATGAGACAGAAAATGCCCCCAGTGGGGCAAAGACGGAGGCAACAAGACAGAAGCACAAAGGGTTAAAATAAAAGAGGCGCTCACAGCTTTGTAGGTCTTCTTCTGGCCGGCGTGCTTCGGGGCTTTTCCCGGGTCGGCGCTGATCTCCACGTGCATCGCGTAGATGATGTCGAAGAAATCCTCGACCACGGCGACGCGCTTCAGCGACGAGTCGACCCCCGAGACGCCGTCAACGCACTGAGGAGGAGGAAGAACAGAGGAAGATTTAATTTAGAGTTCACAGATTAACCAGAGACACAAACTAAAGAGGTACTGAAACAACAGCACATCTGGATACATCTTTAAAGAAAAATGACCCTGAATCGTAGAAAGAAACTGAAAAAACTGATCGATTGTCAACTTTCCCACAGTCCTTGAAGTACTCATCATTTATCCAAAATGATCCAACTTTGTTCTACATGTTTAAACATTTACTAAAAATAAACGTCCTGCATTAAACACATTCTGTAAAAAGATAAAAATTCTGGGGTCCTCATCGCAGCCGTGGAGCCGTCAGCGACTCAGAGGAGACCGACGGTCATGTGACAGAAAATCAGAGAGTTTTTGGGATGAACTGCAGGCAGTGTTTCCACAAAGCTTGGAAACAAGAGAAAAATGTAAATAGTTTTTTTCTTGTCTCGTGCTGCCAACACCTGGACACTTAAAATACTGCTTTTTTCTCTCTTTTTTTCTTTTATTTATTTGTACAGTTTTTTATTTTTTGTTTTTTTCTGGCACCCTTGTTGCAAAA